TCAACCCATGCCTTCGCGGTCTCTCCCCAAACTGAAGCTGTGTATTTATAAATGATTACCTAGGAGCCTTTGAAGTATGTGTCATCTATAATATGTAGAGTGGTTATTATTAAAAGGGTGCCATCCCATGTCATTATGTCACTTGATTCTGGGGTCACTGCTATGAAGGAAAAGGTCATCATCCTTTGTTTACAAGCGAGGTGACTGGGGCTTGGGTAAGCCAATTGGCCAGAAAACAGGGACTTGTCCCCAGAGTAGTGATACTGACACCCTGTTTCCAAGGCACCCTGGCTCTGGCCAGCTTGGCTTAGCTGCAGTCCTTATCTGATGTGGGGCTGTGTTTTTGACACAGTGACACATTCAAACAGGGAGACTGCCACTGTCAGCAATTCTCTGCTGTAAATTATGCTTCATCTGAGTCACCTGTGGTTTTCAGGCTTGAAGCTCTGAGACTTCATCCACACTGAGGAAACCGGTTTAGAACTCCTTGGAGTGCAGGCACGAAAATCAGCTGGATGGCTGGGCGTGGTGGTACACACTTGAAATGCCAACACTCAGAAGTGCAGGCAGGAGGATCATGGGTTCCAGGCCTAACTACACAAAGCCCTGGGTTCGATCCACACCACCATGTAAACTCAGTGCAGGCATACACCTGCAGTTTCAGCACTCGAGGTGGAGGCAAGAGTCATCCTCAGCTACATAGTGTTCTCGAGGCCAGGTTGGCCCTGTGAGACCTTCTCTCAACAACCCCCCACAAAAATGGGGAGGAGGGCAAAAATGGAATACCCAGTAGGATGCTGTCCTCTCCCTCGTGGCTGCTTACCTTCATGCTTGCTGGCTGATTGTTGAGGGTTGACCTCTGTCTGAAGATTGTGTTTGGTGTGGCTTTTCGGTTTGTGTCATCTGCTGACGTCCTGCTATGGAAGAGGATATTTTCGTCTCTTCCTGCCCCGTCTCCATGTCCCCACTGTTCCCATGCCCGGTCTTCCCACTCTTCTGTTGTTCCATGTCTGGCGATCACATTGCAGCAGTGTAGTGCTGTTCCAGTTGAGTTACACAGTGAATTATGATTACTTTTCTGTTTTGTGGTAGCATGCATTCTTCAATCATTCTGATAACATGATGTGTGACATGTTTGGGACATACATGTGGCAAAAAACTCAGTTATGCAAACCGAAGTTAAAAGTTTGGTTATGAGATGATTTAAGGTCAAGAAAAAAAAGTGGCAAAGAGAACAGTAGAGGGCCGGAGACAGAATCTCAGTGAGGAACCCAACCAGAAGGTATTCTGCAAAGAAAGGAGGTAACAGCCAGGCTGGGTGATTCCTAGCTGTGATCCTAGGGCATCGGAGGTGGAGGCAAAGGAGCAGGAGTTCAAGGTCATTCTCAGCTATGTAGTGAGGCTGTATTACATGAGACCCCACCTCAGAAAAACAAATCTTGCTGCCCCTGTCCCCAAACTCACCATGGTTCCCAACACCTTCATATGGTACATGTGCTCACTCCAACATCTCCAGCCCTCTCACCTGGCATGCTGGCCCCTGATCCTCCCAATACCATTTCTTTTCTGGCACAATGATCCCCTTGCTCGCAAGGCCTGGCTTCAGAGCACTCTTTTGTGGTTGTTTACATTGTATTTTTTGTGTGTATGTGTGTAATAGCATGTATGTGGGGTCAGAGGACAACTTGCCAGGTATTGGTTCTCTCCTTCACCATGTGAGTCCTGGGGATACAACTCAAGTCCTTAGGCTTGGCAGCAAGTGACTTACCCCCTGAGCTGTCTTGCTAACCTATTGTTTAATCTTTTTTTTTTTCAATTCCATTTTATGTTTGGGTGACACTTTTTCTTTGGATGGCTTCCTGGGTATGAGTCTGCCACAGTGTGCTTCCTTAGGTCTTGGGACTTACCACTCTGCATCGAATGTGCTTTACTTCTTGAGGTTAAATCTTACCTTTGCTATTTCCCAGCTCTGTGATGTTGAGCACATTACCTAGCAGCTGTGCCTCAGTCTCCTCCTTTGTGACATGTGGGTAACAAAAGTGACATCTCCCTGATATGCCTGTTAGTGGCTGCATAAGTTGATGGGATCTAAGCATTTATAGTTTACAGTGCTGCTGTAGGCCAGGCTGTAGCCAATCTCTGCACCCTGGAACCATTAGTTGTTTTATGGCCCTGGAACCATTGGTTGTTTTACATTTGTTTTCTCTCTTAGGTTTGTGTGTGTATGTATGTGTGTGTGTGTGTGTGTGTGTGTGTGTGTGTGTGTGTGTGTACGTACACAGGAGCAAGTGTACTTGCCTGTGCATGCACATGTGGAGGTCACAGGTAGACTTTGGGTATCTTCCTCTATCATAGCTCTCCACCTTATTTTTTAAAAATTTATTTCATAATTTCACATATATAATCTATATGTAATTTCTATATAATTCTCTCTATCTGTAGTTTGATCATGTCCCCCCACCCCTACCCCCATCCTCTCTTATCTTCCTTATCCTTCAGTCTTATTTTTTGAGACAGGGTCTGTTACCGAACCTGGAGCTTGCTGAGATTCACCTGTCTACTTTCACCCCTCTCTCCTAGCAACAGGGTTACAGATGTGTGTGTACCACTGTGCCAAGCTTTTATGTGGGTGCTGGGATTCCTAACTCAGGTCCTCATGCTTGCACAGCAAGCATTTTACCCACTGAGCCATCTCCCCAGACCCTTTAGTTTTTTGTTTGTTTTTTGAGATAGGAACTCATGTAGCCAAGGTTGGTTTCAAACTTAGTATGTAGCTGAGGGTTATCTTGAACTTTTGATCCTTTGCCTCCCAAGCACTGGGCTTACAGGCCTGTGACACTATAACTGTTATCCTTTAGTTTGTTTTGGGGGACAAGTTCTCACTATGTTTCTGAGGCTAGCCTGGAATTCACTGTATGGCTCAGGCTAGTTCCAGTCTTACTGCGTTCTGTTTTGGTCTCCCTAGTGCTGAAATTACAGGTGTGCCAGCAGGCTTGGCTTTAGTTTTTCTCACAGCCCTCCCTGTAAGATGGATGATAACTATTTGATAAGTAATAACAAGGCTCATAGGCCCCCCACACAGAAAGAGGTTCAGCCACTGCTAAATCTGTGTTTCTGATTAAAGTCCTGGGCTTCTGAGAGCAAGCTGTCCTCTCTTTATCAGAAACAGTAGAAGCTCTGTGAGGTTTGCTGTTCCTCGGGCTACCCCAAGGCCTCTGTGGCCCCTGCCCTGGAGAACAAGTCTAATCTCATTCTCTTCAGAAGGGACCTTTAGCAGCTGTGGCGGGTGATTCCAGGCCTGACCTCATAGGGAGGCCAGGATGATGATGGGGACAAAGCCTGAGTCAGAAGTGGGATTTAAACTCCGGAGCTCCCATGGGAGGCGGAGGCCACACCTGCACATTCTGGAAGGCCATCTCCAGCTTGAGGTGACAGGGAATGAGTTAGAAGAATTAATCTGAGTTTCCTTCACTGCCATGAGCCTCCTATGATTCCATGTGTGGAAACGCAGTCTTTGCAGATGGTGAATTGTGAGGAAGGCCCTTTCTAGCCAATGGAACAAGTGTTTTGCCAGCAGGGTAGCTGTTTGGTCTTGGGGAATCCCCTTGGCTCACCATCATGTGCTGTCCTTCCCCTGAGTGTCTGTTTCCCTTTTCTCAAGTTCATGTCTACACACATGCATGCAGATGCCCTCATCCCAGGCACAGCTCTATTGAGACAGTGCCAAAGTGAAAAGGCATAACAGGGCATTTTGGATTTGGGAAGTACTAACCAGAGCGGCCCCCCCCCCCAATGTGGATTCCTAGGCAATAGGACTAATTTCAGCCTAATTTTTCCTATTGTACCTCACAAACCTGGACTTTTAGGAGATGATTAAGCTAGGTACTGTCTACTTTCCTGTTCCTTCCAAACTCCTGGAGAAGCCCATCTGAGATGGCCAGCCACCTTTACCTCTTATTCTCCACATTTCAGACATCTGGCTCCCTTAAGTTCTTGCAAACACTTCCATTCCCTTCTTCCTCTCAGTTGAGTAAGGCTTCGACTGCCTGCTTGGGCTCAGGGTTTCTGCTCCCTCCCCTGCATGTCCCTTTGAGCTTCAGGCTTGTGTGGAAAACATAGGGTGGTTTTCTAACCCCCAACCTCCACCCCCCAGTAGTTGGTCTGGAGAGGTTCTCTGCTGCTCCATATCATCCTGGTGGTTCTAGAATGGGCTGGGACTCTTGCCTCACCCACCACACTAAAAGTGCCCTGGGGCACACTCAGGGTCCTGCTTGTGGTAAGCCTGTGCTCGGTGTTTAACGTTGAGTCACATGGTTTAGGGTTCTGTGGGAAATGGTGCAGTCTTAAAGATTGAAGCTGTCAGAGGCAACTGAGTGTTTTTCCCTTGATGACCCAGAACTAGCTTTTTAATGTACACAGCGATGGGACATAGTAGTCACTAGGCATATTATAGTTTTAAATTACAGGGTGTGGTGGTAAACGCCTATATCCCAGCATTGAGGGGGTGGAGGCAGGAGAATTGAGAGTTCAAGGCCAGAGCAGGAGTCTCTGAATGAATGAATGAAAAACTTAAAAGTAAGTTGCAGCTGGACATGGTAGTGCAGGCCTTTAGTCTAGCACTTGGGAGGCAGAGGCAGGCAGATCAGCCAGCCTGGTCTACATACTGACTTTCAGGCTATCTGGGGCTACATGGAGACTGTCTCAAACAAAAAAAAAATGCAAGTTGTAAATGCATTCCTCCAGTCACATGGCTAGTTTGACGTGCTCAGTAGTCTTGTATGGTTGGTGGCAGCCATAGGACAGTGAGGACCCTGGATCATTCTCACAGTGGCAGACAGGTTTTAGATGGTGTTGAGCCTGACCCTGTCCTACAGAGGTGCTGGTTTTGGGTCTCCATGATGGGCGGAGCTCTTCCTGGTGTTCAGGTAAAGCAGGTGTAAAGCAGGTGTTCAAAGCTTCCTGAGCCTGACGATATTTCCTCCATTTCCTTCTGGCTGTAGGATGCACGTCAGAAGTTCCGCTCTGTCCTGGTTGAGGCGACGGTGAAACTGGATGAGCTGGTGAAGAAAATTGGCAAAGCCGTGGAAGACTCGAAGCCCTATTGGGAGGCACGCAGGGTGGCGAGGCAGGTAAGACTGGTCTGCAGACATCTCCCGCAGCCTCTGCCCACTACCCCCCGCTGTGGTCTTTGATTTTCATATCTCCTGTTGAAGAGTAGAAGCACTTACCCTATGTGATGTGAAATGGCCATGGCTTTATACATGGCTGCATGTAGTTGGCCTTCTGTACCATCTCCACCTGCTCCATTCCAGCTCATGACACTATTAATAGGGCACTGGCATTTAGATGTCCCTGGCAAGGGACTGCCACCTTGTCACATGAGTTGCAGAGTTCTTTGAGTCGCAGAGCTGGGCTCACAGGGACTGTGAGTTAATGTGTCCAGAGCCCTGGGTGTGTGTGTTCCTTCCCAGGCTGCTTGAGGGGCACTGGGTAAAATACCTCCTGAGACACAGGCTTTTTGTTTGGAGGGTCCAGATAAGGAGTAGAGGAAAGGAGACCAGGAAAAAACATCCCATTGGGAAAGAAATCTGAAATCCTAAACACTTCTGGTCACATGTATTTCAGATAAGGGCTACTCAAGCTGTGCTCAGATCGCCGTTGCTGTTTTGGGGGAGAAGGGTTGCTGAAAGGTCCAGAAAGCGTCCCTGCACGGTTGTGGAAGTGGCTTTTCTACCTGAAGTTTCCCACCTGTTCCCCCAAGCTCAGGTTGTGGAGATTCCCCAAGCTCAGGGATCTTTGTGTGCAGGACCCTTTGAACTGTGGTCCTCTATTCAGGCCACAGCTCCTGGCTGTGCTGATGTCAAGCCTGCTGCCACCTCAAGGCCTTTGAGCTTGCTGGTCCCTGTTTGGTGTGGTCCTAATCCTGTTTTGTTGTTGGTTGTTTTGTGTGTGTGAATGTGTGTGCTGTGTATGTAGATTTCAAAAACTTTTATTGATTTTTTTGTGTGTGCATCTGCTTTTCTGTATGTGCACTACATGCATGCAGGTGCTCTCGGAAGCCAAAAGAGGGCATCAGATTCCTTGGCACGGGAGTTTTAGGCAGCTAATGAGCCACTCGACGTGGGTGTTGGAAACCTAATGTGGGTCCTCTGTGAAAACAAATGGCAAGTGCTCTTATCGATGTGGCATTTCTCCAGCCCCATAATCCTGTTTTTTAATGGCCCATTTTCCTGTCTCCTTCACATTTCTGCTCAAATACCATTTTATCCACATAGCCTTCTCAGGTTAATATATTGAAGATAGAGTTTACGTGTCTATAATGAGTGAACCTCCACAGACGAGGAATTTTGTCTGGGTCATTACCATGTCTGTCATGCCGGCCTACAGAAGGAATTCAAATACTGGTGAATTCATGAATAAACAGGTGATTGACAGCCTGGGAGCTACCAACAGAGCAAACATCCTCCCCAAGCAATGCTCCCATCATCTCTATTCCTCCAATATCTTTCCTGCTTGTAGGTGGCTTGGAAGGCAGAGATCTTGTTGGCTTTGTCCAAATCGTCTTTGATGGGTGGGGTCCCAGCTGGTGGCTGCACATCTGGAGTGGATTTCACATCTGTCCTTTTCTGTACCCCATCTCCTTTGGGAAAGGAGGTAGCTGGGAGCAGGGTTGGGAGATGCCTCATCTGCTGGGAAGCAATGCATGGAGGCATCTTCTTTTCATCCCTTCTCTTCATCACCAAGGACAGTAATCATGACCATCACGGAGTCACTTGGGCAAGCATTCAGTTATTAGGCATAGGCAGATAATGCCAGGTCCTGGGGGTGATTGACTCCTTATGATGGGCAGAGCCCAAGATAAGTGTTGAGGGAATCCTGGCCAGCTCTGAACCTGCAAAGCCCTTCTGTGACCTCCTTCCTGCTTGCCACTGGGGAAGGAGGGTCGGAGTGAACTCTGCCCTCAGCCCCAAGGACCTTTTCTCTAGCCTAGGAACTGGAAGAATGCTCAAAGGCGGAGGCAGAGGATGTTACATTTCATCTGTGGGTTAATGGCCCTCTCACCTTTCAGATGTTGCTTGGGGTCCTGTCCACTTCAGCTGCTGCCAAGTGGGGCTTCCTGTTTTCTTCCTGTGCCTAGTCCCCACCCCCTTCCTTTTGATATTTACAGACCCTTCCAACTGGGCCCAGCAAGGATGATGTCTGAGTCCTGCAGAACACTTCTTCCTTGTGAGCATTCTGAGCCTCCACATCCTTGAAATGCTGATGGTCAACAGGCCAGCATTGTTCTTAGGACTTAAATAAAAGGATGTGTCTGACGGTAGTTTGGGTTTCAGTGTCATTAAAACTTAGTGGTTAAGAGCACTGGCTGCTCTTACAGAGGATCCAGGGTTGGTTCCTAGCACCCACATGGCAGCCAACAACTGCCTGTAACTCCAGTTCCGGGGGTATCCAATGCCTTCTTCTGACCTCTGGGCATTGCATGACATAGTGCACTTACATACATGCAGGCAAAACACTCCTGAACATAAAATAAAAATAAATAGAACTAGGACTTAATATAGGAAATTTAAAACGAGTTCCATCCCTGCTGGATTTGTTTCTGTCTTCCCCTTCTCCCTTCCCTCCCCCACCTCTCAACCCCTCATCCTCTCCCTCTCCCTCGAGGTAGCTTTACATGTCTTGAATGCATCCAGCATCTCAGTTGCCATAGGGAACTTAACAAGGAGAAAAACCTCTCCTAGATGGACCAGTAGAAATTACAACTGTCCATCAAAGCTTTGCATAGCCTTTGTTCTCAATATCAAATCATTTTCCTGACCATGAATCACATCCTATCCTGTGATCCTAAAACTAAGCCCAAGTTCTGCCAAGAAGAATTAGAATATGTCATCGTTTCTGCTCAGAGCTGTAGACAGGGAACTGGCTTTGGTTTCTTTGAGAGCTTTTGTCCTTGGGCCTGAACTTGTTTTCAAGGTTGCTCTAAGGTATCTGCAGCCCATCTGTCTGTCAGCATCAGCGCTGGGGCGAGTGTGGTTTGACAAGGGTGTGCCTCGTGACTCAGGAATCTGAATGGCACAGTGTCTCCTCCTGCTCTGCTCTCTGGAGCCTGATGGTCCAACAGAAGCCTTGGACCATTTCATCACCGCAGCTCAATCTTTGGTTTTTATTGCTGGCTTTTTTTTTAAGTCTCTTTTTAAAAAATGGGCAAAACTCAAGCATAAAATTTACCATTTTAGCCATGTTTAAGCATAAAGCATGTAGTTCAGTGGCATTAACAGCATTTATTTTATTGTACAACCTGGACCACTGGAGCTTTTTCATCTTTTCAAATAAAGATTGCTGCTGCTGCTGGTGGTGGTGCTCTTCCTCCTCCTCCTCCTCTGCCTCCTTCTTTGTATTTTTTAAACTTTTTTGCTTTATTTTCGTTGTGTGTGTGTGTGTGTGTGTGTGTATGTGTTGCATGCATGTACCCAAGTGCACCTGTGTCATACAAAATGGCTGTGGAAGACAGAAGAGGGTGTTGGATCCCCTGGAACTGGAGTTATGGATGGTTGTTAGCCACCATGTGGGTGCTGGGATTCAAACTCAGGTCTTCTGAAAGAACAGCCAGTGCTCCTAACTGCTGAACCATCTCTCCAGTCCCTCTTTGTCTTTTTGAGACAGGGTCTCACTATGTAGCCCTGACTGGCCTGGAACTCACTATGTAGATCAGGCTGTCCTGGAACTCAAAAGATCTGCTTGCCTCTACCTCCCAATTGCTGGGATTAAAGGCGGACGCCACCATGCCTAGCTTCTGCAGCTGTATCCGTGACTGCTCACTAACTCCCCCTTACTCCCTTCCACAACCCTGTCAGCCATCCTTCTTCTGATTTCTAAGAACATGACTTAGAGATGCCTCAGGTGTTAAAGAATGTTCAGCATTCATGCATGGCTGGCTCATTTCAGATGGCATAATGTATATTCCTAGTGCTCATCCCTACTGTGCCCTCTGTCAGAATTCCCCTTGTTTAAAAAAAAATGTGTTTGTGGTATGTATGTGTATGTATGCCACAGTGAACAAGTGTGGGTCAGAGAACAGTTTGTGGGAATTGGTTGTCTCCTTGCATCATGTGGGTTCTGGGGATTAAACTCAGGTCACCAGGCTTGGCAGTAGGCACCTTTATCCTCTTAGCCATCCCACTGGCCCTCCCTTCCTTTTGGGGGTGAATGCTATTCCACCGTGTGTATTACCACATCTTCTTATATGCTCATCTGTCAACGTTGCCAGCCTTGTCATTTTTAAGTGGTTGCAGTGTGTCAGAAGAGGACAGAGCCCTTTGCAGACTGGAAGGGCAAATGTCATTGCAAAACATCAAGGGTCATTTGGTGCTCAGAGCTGCCTGTTGGCATTTATGGGGCCATGTAAGGCCATGTTCAACATTTAGCCTCCTTTAGAAGAGTGGCTAAGTGAGGAAACAGTTGAAATTTGTAGAATGACTTGGCTAGAAGAGACGCGGCAAAGCTTGGCCCATGGAGCCAGACTGCCTGGCTTGGAATCCCAGGTCACCACTTAGTAGCTGTGGAACTTTTGGAAGGTTTCTTAACTTCTGAACCCCACCGTCTCCATAAAATAGAGGTATCTGTCAGTTAGCTTTTGCCACAAACCAAACCACCCATGGCTTAGTAGCTTAAAACACTCATTCAGCTTATGGTTTTGTGGGACAGTTTCTTCTGATCCTAGGCTTGGCTGCTGATCTTATATGTATGTAGTCAGTTGGTTGTCTAGGAGGGCATCATCTTGGATAGCTGTATCTGTTAGGTGGTTGATGGTTGGTTGGTTGTCATCTGGGGTGGCAGGAGTGACTGAATGTCTCATCAAAGCCCAGCCTGGTCCTTTCAAATGGCTATTGGGATTCCAGGAGCAGAAAGGGCATGGTCTTCCCTGGTCTGCCTGCTTTATGTTAGTTGATTCCCTTCTGACTGGAGTAGGTCACATGGCCAGCCCCAAACTGGGAGGAGGAGAAAATGACCTTCACCTGCAAGGTATTATGGGCATCTGTATAATCTGCCATAGTGATTGGATCAGTACACATGAAGCTTTAAGATCAGAGAAATGTATTCTAGATTTATTTTTGTATCAAATATTGTA